GTAGAATTATAATAATATATAAAAAATAAAGAAAGTCAAGAAAATAATAAGGTAAAGGGCAAACTAGATTATTTTTTTGTTGCGTAATAGCGATTTAGTTAGTGAATTTTTGAATTAGGATACTGTGAGGTTAATCCAGATGAGCACCCAGCTCTATTTCTGTAAAAAGTTTTTTCAAGAGATATCGTTTCTTTACTATTAATAATTATTGTTATTATTTTGGTGTTCTATATGCGTACCGAGCTTCAAAAAATCGGGTACAAATTTATTTGTCAGAAATATTGCTTTAAACATATAAAAATCGAGTAATTGTAAAGAATAACAAAAAATTTTTTTAACAGACACACGCAATTTGGGCTAAAATTAATGACAGATTTCTTGTTATTTTGTCATAAGAAATAACTGTAACACTTTTGAGAAAAATCGCCGTCTGACATTTCTTAAGGTTTACTTGTCAGCTTCATATCAAAGGTTGAAGCAGAATATGTTATATGATAAAAACTTTAATACTCTCCAATATAAAACTAATAAAATACCGCTTTTAACATATTAGTTTAATATAGTATATTTTTATTAAATTTTGAAATGGTTAATTTACTAAGGAATTTAAAAATAAATGCGAAAGATGTGCCAAAACTTTTATTCATCATTATCACTAATATTAACGCTTACAGTTTGACAACAACTTGTTGGGTGGTATTTATCATAAAAACAAGTGAAACATAGACTTACTCCACACCATGCACATTTCATGAATGTTACCTTTCGACGCGCACAATGCTTTTTTAAAATGTTAACAGCAAAACAGACAGCATTTACATTTAAAAAAATCGGTGTTTCCTCCATTAATTTGGCAGCAAACCACGCATATATGAATAGGATCGGAACAGGGAGTAACTTAACGTTGATGAAATTACAGACCAAATAAAATTACGATAAATAAAATATTTCTTGTATTAAATAATAATTATATTAAAAGCGGCATTTTATTAGTTTTATATATATATATCGGATAGAACACGTAAAAAATAATAAGATTGTTAATAAAAATTATGTTCAATGAATTATATTAAATAAAGTTAAAAGTGAAAATTTTAAATAAAAACAGTTGTTAATTAAATTAATTTTATTTAGATTGCTAGTCCACGGCTGAGCGCCTGACTTACGCCGCCTTCTCGATAATAGGTTTAACGAGAGCGGTATATACGGAACGGTATAAACTTTAAACCAGTTTTTCTCGAAAACGGCTGAGAGTTGCGTCATATCTCTTTGCCAAAGTACTCCACTGCTCCAAAGTACTCTACTGCTAGAGTGCTTTAACATATAAAAGCCTTTTCAAAATCGGTGATTACCCTCCCCTTGTAAATGTTACTAGATCTAGTTATAATGTCTATTAGCACACATGGATCCACTATTCTGACAATACGGTTAATTCTTTAATTTTTAGCTTAAATTGTTTTTATAATTTTTCATACTCGATCTAGCAGCACCAAATGTTTTTATATGAAAAATTTTTCTATTTAAATTAATTTTTTTTATTTCATACAGTTATCTCTTTAATTTTTTGTGATAACACTTAAATTGAGCAAGTTAACGCAATTTTGTGATAACGTTTTGTATATTATTTTGAAGGAGAATTAAATAATCACTACTTTAGTTGGAAGAGAAAATGTCTTTGCGAATGAATTATGATATAATAATTTCATTTAAGAGGAATTTAAACCATTTGGATTGGAATAGTAAGATCCTTCAATAAAAAAAATATACGTATACTTAGGTTTCATTGTATAAAAATTAAAGATAGTATTATTTGGATTAAGTAAATAAAGAAATGGAATTTAACTTGACGCTAGTTCTTGATATATCAAATCCTTTATAGGAATGATAAATATTATTAAAGTTAATATTATTTATTTAATTTGATATCGGAATTACATGGAATTAAACTTGGCGCCAATTGTTGATATCAAATCTTTTTTACGAACGATACATAAAATTTTGAGGAATTTAACTTGGCGCCAATTTTGTTGATATCAAATCTTTTATATGAATGATACAAATCATTAGAATTAAATAATATTATATACAAAGGACCGATTTCATCAACTCGATTAAACCAAATCCGTGATTAACCATAAGTATCAACCATAAGTAGTCAGTTCCATTAATCAGCAAACGCAATTAGTCAGGTCCACGGCGAAGTAATTGACGTTGGTAAAACCGGCCCAAATCATTTTTACGAAAAACACGTACGCTTAGCGCTTCTTCTATCTTTTTTTAAAAAGGTAAGTTTGTATAAATGACAAGAGATATAAGACTTACATGAAAGCAGGGACATCACATGAAATATGTCAAACGCAATCGATGCTCGGATTCGAATGTGATAACATTCTCTGGAACAGACAAAAGAACTCCAAGTATGTCTATTTATTATTGTTATTACAACTAACAGGTATATTACATGTAACTTTGTGTTCACTGGATAGAATTTATACTGAATGAATATTGTTTTCTACAAAATGTAACGAAAATAAAACTTCTCCATTAGTCTTTTTCACAATTATTACCATTTGATCCTGTTGGAAAGCTGGCGACGACAGAATTGAACAGAATCATTATCTAGTTCAGTAGAAATTCAGATTTCTAGTATTGTCTATTCGCTCAGGTGGTGCAGAAATACGATTTGACTTTTCACATGAGTGTGTTCATACTCTGAATTGCACTTTGAAAATTTTTGCGTGTTTTAAAACCATCGAAAAAAAAGTACAATAAAAAATTACAGTGTACAAAAGTTACAGTGTAACAACCTCAGTGTCTACGACTGTACATACGCTTCACTAAAGATCCTATAATGTCTGTTCTACAATAGAATCACAAGAAATCCGTAACAAATTAACCAATTATTTAATAATTATAAGTCGATTATTTTTTTCATATTCAACTGTGATTGACCAATTTCTTATGGCTTAGGACTTGCGACCCTATTGTAAAACAGGCATAATAGAATCTCTACTTTTTACCCAGTTGTCACAGCTGAACTAAATTCGGTCGCTTAGCGTAAGATGGCGACTCGTACGCATATTCAAAGTCACGACCGCGGCACGTTCAGGTATTTGAATATATGAGTATTTGAAGCTTTGCTCTCTCCTTCCACTTTACTCTTCCGTCTCTAATAAAGTTGAAATAATAAACTTGACGTGTGCGAAATTCTTGGGTAGGTTAATGACGAAATGAGACAGGAAAAAATGTTGAAAATATAACTTTTAACGTATAGCTTAGTGACAGGTAAGAATTGGAAACGTTTTTTTGACTAACTGCACACATGAAATATTACCATAGACTTCTCTAAGAAACTGATTATGATAGTTTAAAAAATTACGATTGTAATGATCACAAAAAATAATAGGTCAACGTCCATTCTGGAAAGATATTTATGTGCCTAAACTTGCAAACAAATTTAACCATGAAAAGTAAACATCTCTTGTTTTCCTTTAATGAAGATGCAGCTATTGATTTACTACCGTTTGTTTTATATCATAGTATTGTACTCTTTCATTAAAATATACATTTAGCATTGATATTTCATCCAAATTGTACAGACATTTGCGATTTTGGGTGGGCCCAGTGGTGAGGCACACCAAATTCTCGGCATTTTACTAAAGAACCACCTCGACTAGCTTTGAAACAATTGCGTAATTTTTTTCTATTAAACGAACTGTTTTATTATTTTAATTACGTTCGCACGTTTCCTTTGCATTGGAAATAGTTCTGTATGTTTTAAAGCTTATATTGATCCGATTCGCTTCTATCCGCCGTTTGTTACATACTTCTTTTTCTTTTGTCATTGCTTGTAGATCCGTTGCAAGCTCAACAGCATTTTCAACATTCTGCATAAATAAAAAGAAATTTTATTTACAGCAACAAGATTCTTTAAGAAAGAAATAAGAATCACATACTTTTTTAACTATCTCTCTTTCTTTATGAACTGTCTTAAATCTGTCAATGAGAGACAAATACTGTTCATGTAAAAGACACGTTTCCGAATCTCCTAGATACTCGGACGGAATTTCAACCTAATAAAAATAGTACTTTTCTTCAGGAGAATTTACGTTAATTTATTAACCTATTTTTCTAGTAATTATGTGATAACATGGACACAGCACATAAACATACGAAAAACATCTATAAGATATCCTTTAAAAATTTCGGGATATTCATCAAATTTTCGTTTTATGCAATCCTTCAATGGATATTCGTTTGTGAAGTTAATAAACGTAATTTAATCTCTATACCCAGTGAATATCAGATGGAATAAATGAACAATGATGAATATATAATTGGACTTCGTATAAACGTGAAATGAATGTTTTAAAAGAGCGGTCCGGAATTGTAATTTACATTAACATTGGATATTAGTTATACAGGATGATTCGTAACAACCCAGGTGTCCCTGAAGACACATATTCCTCATCCAATTCTAACAAGGAGAGGCTCAGATGTTCGGAATTTAGAAAAATTTGAAACTTATCCCTGATAAAAAAAATCCGATAGAAAATGAAAGAAAACGATTTTATCGTTTTGAATATGGATTTTGGTTCGTGATTTCACGAAATGCTATATAATATTTTATATTGGAACCTTATCATACTCTATAAGACTTTACTTATCAGATGTTATCGTATGCTATATAGCATTTTATATTGGAATGTTATCGTACTCTTTAAAATTTTACTTATCGGATGTTATCGAATGCTATATAGCGTGCCAGTATAAAATATTATGTAGCATTTCGTGAAAAAAATCACAAACCAAAGTTCTATATTCAAAACGATAAAATATATCTCTTTCCTTCATACACTATTAAAAAGATATAGATTAATTTTCATTTTTAATTAATCAGAATTAATTTATAAGTTGTTTCACATACAATATTAATTACGCATTACAATTACGCATCGGATATATAATTTACAATATTTGTGGAAAACGCATACGCGGTATCGACGGGATTCGAACCTAAGACCTACACGGAGAAAATTTTATATTTAAAATTACTATAATGTGGTAATAGCTGCGGTCCTCATGTATTAGGTGTTAAACTTAATTCTTGCCGTTTTTCATCTCCAAAATTGATTTGTTTCAAAGGGAAGATGAATGAATGCCTCAATCAAAGTAATTTCTTCGATTTTCTACTTTATTACCAATTAATAATACTTTATTAATAATACTTTGATTAAGGTATTTCCCTTCGAAACAAATCAATTTTAGAGACGAAAAACGGCAGAAATTAAATTTAACATCTAATAAATTATAAGTTTAAATGCTATAGTTATTTTTTTAAAATACAATAATACAACGTAATTTTTACACTTTTATAGTAAAAATTTTTTATTGCAGAATCAAATCTTGTTGAATGAAAGTTAGTATTGTAAAGATAAATAAAAAATATATACATAGCAAATTAAGTTTGCGTACCATAGTAAAAATTAACTGTTTTCATGTTAGAATAGGGCTTAACAAAATAATTACTTTATTTATGTGATAAAAATTAGTATTACCATAGTAAAAGTTAAGTCGGAATTATGTTGTGAGGGTCCATACGAAAATACAAAACATAGTAAAGTGTAATTAAAAATTATATTAAAACTTAATATAAAATTTTCTCGGTGTATGGAATAACCTAACATGCTGAGCTATAATCGCACGCTATTCAGAACGATTTGATATTCGACTGTTATTCGACTCCTCGTATAAGTTTTTATAGTGAACTTGATATAGCTGTTGAATAGTGTTCTATACGGAATTACATGCATCGAAAGATCTATTACTGCTAATAAGAAATTCTTGACCGTAAAATAAATCTGAGTTTTTATGGTGTACCGGCTTATAGGTGTCTACGGTTTTAAACAACAGAAATCGGAATATTCTGCGTGGGAAATAATATAAAAAAATCCGATAAGAATTTATAAGAAACGATTAAATTTTTATAAGACTTTATCGTTATTTATGTGGGACCGCCGGGATCGAGGACGGCGCTAAAATCGGTCTTGCCGACGGAATGGCGTCAGAAGACTCGCAAGAAGGGCACTGCATACGGAGGGCGCTTAAAAAGAAAGGAAAGGGCAGTCTACGAAGTTAGACCCATGACTTATTATCATCACTTTCACTTTACTTACTTGTACAGTTAATAAACCACGTTTTCTTTAAAATATAACCACGGGAATTATCTTTTTCCCTACATTTATAAAGCCTATCGTAGCTGTTTTTGAAGTTAGATACAATTGTTATCGTTCCACATCGATTTATAATATCTGGTTTTAATCATTCTAGATCAATAGAAATTCTTTAGGTACGTATCGTATTTATACACATATTCGTTGCTTATATGGCTTTGACGATAGAAAATCTTTCGGAACTTCTTTGATATTTTACATAACGATTTTCTATCTGATGTAATATGAAAAACACAATAGAAGACTTATCAGTATGTTCTCTATTTTTAATAAATTATTGATGTAATCGTTATTTAGATAGAATTAAAGGCAAAAATTATATCAGAATTTATGTAATTTTTTATTAACTATTTTCTCTCAAATGAAATATGATAGTTATGGTAATTATTGTATGAATCTACTAAATGAATCAATATATAATTATTCTTATATATTTATAAAAATGAAATTACTAAGGATCGGATTAAAGCAAGATTATAACATCGTAGGATACTATGTGGCGAATAAAGTTAGTTGAAAAATGCATCAATTTAAATTTATTCGAATTATGTTGACAAATAATAAGTTTATAACAATTTATAATTAACATTTTAAAAGATATTGATATAGAGAGCAAAATATCTTTATAAACATAGACTAATAGCGGAATTATATAAACAATTAATATAATGCACGTATAAAATATCATGATGTATCAATATTTTAGTTAAAATATCAAATAATTTCCGAGTGATTTTCTATCGTCAAGCCACATAAGCAACGAATATGTAAATTACTCATAGGAACTGATGAAATTTCTATCAACATATTCCACATAGAATCTGATAGATGTTCGTGTAAAATGTCAAATAAGTCCCGAGTGATTTTCTATCGTCAAAGCCATATAAGTAGTGATGGGAATCAAATGATATCTCTTGCGAATTTGTCAATCAATTTAGGCATTGCATTGTTTCGAAACATTTCGAATATTATTCGAACCTGTATACTCTTGAAAGTCTTGAGTCTTCATAGGTCTTGATAGTCTTGAAAGTCTTGATAGGTCTTGATAGTCTCGAAAGTCTTGATAAGTCTTGATAGTCTTGGAAGTTTTGATAGGTCTTAATAGTCTTGAAAGTCTTGATAAGTCTTGATAAGTCTTGAAAGTCTTGATAGGTCTTGATAAGTCTTAAATATCTTGATAATACTAGATTTCTTCGATTAAAAGAAAATTTGTTTGAATTAAGGCTATATTTAACAATGTGCTTTTTGTTTCCTGTTTTTCTTGCTGTTTGTCTGAGTGCGTTCTTTTAGACATCGGATACAGCAGTTCTTGCAGTAATTCGTTCTTTTAGTACAACTGCACAATCAATTGCAGCGCAGATTTTCGTTCTTTTGGCAATGGATACGCAGTAGATACGCAGACGAATAGAATTAGCTGCGCAGCCGGCTACGTATCTGCGTGATTGTTTAAAAAACACGCAATTGGCAGCTCCGATGCGCAACGACTGCCAAATCCGATGCCTAAAAAGAACGCACCCTCTCTGTTTGTCTCTCGCCTTCTTGATCAAGATGGCAAGAGATAAAATAAAACAGCAAGAAACAGGAAACAAAAAGCACATTGTAGAATTAGCCTAAAGAAATTTGTGCGATTAAAAAAAAGTTTCTTAGATTTGAACGTCATTTCTTGAAATCAAATACATATTTCTTTGGTTTGAACCTCATTCCTTGATATCAAGTAACGCGCGATTTTTAAATAATATTATTTAACCGTCTGTCGAAATGACAAGACATATATCGTTCTCGCAGTTATTTTTTAAAATTTGACGATAATTTATTAACATATTAACAAGTTACAAAATGTTAAATAAGAGAGATTCATTGTTCAGTGTACAAGCGTCGATTGTGTGAGCTTGAGTTCTCATTGCCAGCTTTCTAACTTTGTGAGTATGTGACTTACCTCACAACAGTAAACGGTTCAATATTTGAGAGGAAAAACGTTGGAGATATCATTTTGTCATGCAATACTCCAATCGTTACACTAGGGTGAAAGATTGCTGATGAAGACTCAAACCATGAGTGGAAACGTTCAAAGTTAAGGTTTATATATTTAGTATTAAGAAAAATTGCGCTAACTGATAACCAGCGTCGACTCCTATTGCCTGTAATATTTTATGGTTTTATTAATTATTTTAATTAAAGGAGTTTTTTATAAAAACTTATTAGTTTTTATATTAATTTGTAATTTGTTAAATAATAACATTAACAACCCTATATCATAGCGTTACTATTATCGTTATTTGTAGTAAAAATCATGCTTTACCGTTACTTCAAAGTAATGGGAAAAACGTTATTTTTTTAAAAATGATTGCAGTTATCACAAATGTAATCATTTTTGGAAAGGTAACGAAAAAGATAACGATTGTTGTTTATCAAATGTTAAGCAAGGACAAACAATACTCGCGAGCGTTGCTAGTGTTAGGTGGAACGCTGCCTTTGTAGACTGATATCATATATCTTATATGTTAGCAGGGCATAACTAAGAGAGATTCACGTTATCCAAACTGATATTTATTATGCAAAAAGGGATTGGTTTTAATACAGACACATTTTGGCAGAAAAAGGTAATAGTAATAATAATAACGTAGAGAGCAAAGAAGAGAAAAAGTATAGATGGCCTCACGTGTTTACCAAATCATTATGGCTGATTCTCATTAGTTGTAATATTTCAAGAGTGAAACGAACTGAACCAAAATAAAACAAATATATAGGAAATGAACTTATTCAAATGTATAAAATTAAAATAATTTTATCTAATCATTTTAACACTCCTCCTCATTTGGATAAACATTTAGACCTAATGCCTGACGTAGTTTTACGAAACGTTGCCTTGATAGCGGCTTTGTTAATATATCCGCTATCATTTCCTCCGTAGAGCAATATTTACAGGTTACTATTCCTTTGTCCACATAG